TGGTACAGTCACCCAAAAAAGCCCTGTCGCGAACCATGATTCAGACTCGTGAACACGAAGCAGTAGACACTGATACATTATTCTGTCCATAAATGCTTCGGATTCAAGAGTCTGAATCTCGGGGTTCATGGTTCGCGACAGGACTTTTTTGGGTGACTGTACATGATAGACCCTGACCAGATACACACACACGGGGGTGGTAGGGGCCCGCTCGTTAAGGTACAGAGTACAGGTGTGTGTGGTCTGATGAAAATAGCACAAGACACCGGCGGCAGAACTCGGGCACTCGGGAATGACATTCACACCAATTGTAAGAGGCGTTGTGAGTGACGTGTGAGAGTGGAGAGGGACGTGTGAGAGTGGGGAGGGACGTGTGAGAGTGGGGAGGGACGTGTGAGAGTGGGGGAGGAACGTGTGGAGTGGGGGAGGGACGTGTGGGAGTGGGGAGAGGGGACGTATGGGAGTGGGGAGGGACGTGTCATAGGAGTGGGGAGGGACGTGTGAGAGTAGAGGGACGTGTGAGAGTGGGGAGGGACGTGTGAGGTGGGGAGGGACGTGAGGTGGGGAGGGACGTGTGAGAGTGGGGGAGGGGACGTATGGGGTGGGGAGGGACGTATGGGGTTGGTGAGGGACGTGTGAGAGTGGGAGGGACGTGTGAGAGTGGGAGGGACGCGTGTGAGAGTGGGAGGGACGTGTGAGAGTGGGGAGGGACGTGTGAGAGTGGGGAGGGACGTATGGGGTGGGGAGGGGACGTGTGAGAGTGGGGAGGGACGTGTGAGAGTGGGGGAGGACGTGTGAGTGGGGAGGGACGTATGGGGGTGAAAGGGAGGGACGTGTGAGTGGGGAGGGACGTGTGTGAGAGTGGGGAGGACGTATGGGGGTGGGGAGGAACGTGTAGAGTGGGGGAGGGACGTATGGGGAGTGGGGAGGGACGTATGGGGAGTGGGGAGGGACGTATGGGAGTGGGGAGGGGACGTGTGAGGATAGAGAGGACGATGTGAGAGTGGGGAGGGACAGCGATGGCAGAGAGTGGGGAGGGACGTATGGGAGTGGGGAGGGACGTGTGAGAGTAGAGAGAGGGACGTGTGAGAGTGGGGAGAGGGGACGTATGGGGTGGGGAGGGACGTGTGTGAGAGTGAGAGAGGACGTGTGAGAGTGGGGAGGGACGTGTGAGAGTGGGGAGGGACGTGTGAGAGTGGGGAGGGACGTGTGAGGAGTGGGGAGGGACGTGTGAGAGTGGGGAGGGACGTGTGAGGAGTGGGGAGGGGACGTGTGTGAGGTGGGGGAGGGGACGTATGGGGTGGGGGGACGTGTGGGGTGGGGAGGGGATGTATGGGGTTTAGGGAGGGACGTGTGGGGTGGGGAGAGGGACGTGTGAGAGTGAGAGAGGGACGTGTGTGTGAGGTGGGGAGGGACGTGAGGTGGGGGAGGGTATGTGTGAGGTGGGGGAGGGACGCGTGGGGAGTGGGGAGGGACGCGTGGGGAGTGGGGAGGGACGCGTGGGAGTGGGAGGACGCGTGGGGAGTGGGGGGAGGGACGTGTGAAGTGGGGAGGGGACGTGTGAGTGGAGAGAGAGTGTGTGGGGAGTGGGGAAGGACGTGTGTGAGGGAGTGGGGAGGGACGTGTGGTGTGGGGAGGGACGTGTGAGAATGGAGAGGGACGTGTGGCTGAGAGTGGGGGAGGGACGTGTGAGAGTGGGGAGGGACGTATGGGAGTGGGGAGGGACGTATGGGAGTGGGAGGACGTGTGAGAGTGGGGAGGGACGTGTGAGAGTGGAGAGGGACGTGTGAGTGGAGAGAGACGTGAGTGGGGAGGGACGTGTGAGGTAGGGAGGGACGTATGGGAGTGGGGAGGGACGTGTGTGAGTGGGGAGGACGTATGGGGTGGGGAGGGACGTGTGAGTGGGGAGAAGTGTGGAGTGTGAGGGGAGGGACGTGTGAGGTGGGGAGGACGTGTGAGAGTGGGGAGGGACGTGTGGAAGAGTGGGGAGGGACGTGTGAGAGTGGGGAGGGCGTGTGAGTGAGGAGACGTGTGAGAGTGGGAGGGACGTGTGAGGTGGGGAGGGACGTGTGAGAGTGGGGAGAAACGTGTGAGAGTGGGGGAGGGCGTGTGAGAGTGGGGAGGGACGTGTGTGAGAGTGGGGAGGGACATGAGGGGTGGGGAGGGTGCGTGAGGTGGGGAGGGACGTGTGAGGTGGGGAGGACGTGTGAGGTGGGGGGAGACGTGTGAGGTGGGGAGGGACGTGTGAGGAGTGGAGGGACGTGTGGAGTGGGGAGGGACGTGTGAGGTTGGGGAGGGACGTGTGAGAGTGGGGGAGGGACGTGTGAGAGTTGGGGAGGGACGTGTGAGAGTGGGGGAGGGACATGTGTGAGAGTGGGGGAGGGACGCGTGAGGTGGAGGGAACGTGTGAGAGTGGGAGGGACGGCGTGTGAGGTGGGGAGGGACGTGTGAGAGTGGGGAGGGACGTGTGAGGAGTGGAGAGGGACGTGTGAGAGTGGGGAGGGACGTGTGAGAGTTGGGGAGGGACGTGTGAGAGTGGGGGAGGGGACGTGTGAGGGAGTTGAGAGGGACGTGTGAGGTGGGGGAGGGACGTGTGAGAGTGGGGAGGGACGCGTGAGGTGGAGGGCGATGTGTGGAGTGGGGAGGGACGTGTGTGAGAGTGGGGAGGGACGTCAAGGGCTGACAAACACACAGGTTTGCATTGCTGTTGTGAGTGAAAGTGAGGGGGGGCAGAGGGGCAGGAACAATGAGGTGAGGCAGGGGACAATGTGTGAAGACTGAACTGCTGCCTCACCCAGATCACTTCACGATAACCAGACCTCGACTAGCTAAGCAGCTATATATCGCACACACACACACACACACACACACACACACACTACACCAAGGCCATCAACAGCACCATTACTATCGTTATTAGCGCTTATGCACCATCGACGTCACCACTACTGCCATCATACAATCATCACCTTTATTATCATCGTCAATCAAGAGTGTCATCGGCATCATCATCATCATCACTATCACCATCGACATCCTCAGTACAATCACCAACATTTCCGATCACCACAACCACCATCACTTATTGCCACACCACTACTATCCTACCCACCATCATCACTACTACCATAACAATAGACACCACTGCTACCATCACCACAGTCCTCATAACACACCACAGAATAAGCAAACATTTTGACCACCATCGATGCCCCGACAACGTTTAGATTCATGACTGACTTCACAACATTTGGATCCAGCGATGACATGCCAAACTTCTGATCCATCATACTGCAGTCGGTGCGTGTGAGTGACTTTAGCAGTGGGTGAGAGTGACTTTAGCTGTGGGTGTTATGTGAGTGGTGGTGTGTGAGTGTGGCCATGACTAACTCTCACAAGTGGTTGGGTCAGCTGTGAACCAGACAGCTGTGAGCAGAGGTTGACGTTTACACCGAGAGATCATATCTGGCTTGGGGGGAGGGGGGAGTGGACCGTGGCTGTTGTTGATACATATCTCAATGTTGGTACACCCAGTCAAAGACACTGGAAGGCTTAGTCTGCTCATTTCACGGTGACTCGGCTCTGTCCTGGAAGAAGTTGCTCGTGGCGGGAAACGCATAAGGTGTTTTTTTTGGAGGGGCCTTTTTTTGGCCTTTTTTGCAGGAGGTTCACTTTCGTTTATATATTGTGATTTAGTATACCATATATAGTTTACATAATATACGAAAAAAATAACATTCAACATAATATAATCTGTACAGTGATTGCAACACGGTAGCAGTACATCATTTGTATTCAGGATAACGTGTACTTTATTTGGTGACGTTGCCTCGTTAACTATTACTACCACAACTCTTGCTACCCTACCACTACTACTACCACAACTCTTGCTACCCTACCACTACTACTACCACAACTCTTGCTACCCTACCACCACTACTACCACAACTCTCGCTACCCTACCACCACTACTACCACAACTCTTGCTATCCTACCACCACTACTACCACAACTCTTGCTACCCTACCACCACTACTACCACAACTCTTGCTACCCTACCACCACTACTACCACAACTCTTGCTACCCTACCACCACAACTCTCGCTACCCTTCCACTACTACCACCATCTGTTTCCTCATCACAGCTTCAGGTACAGTGTCTAGTGGTGGTGATGTAGGTCGCACCCAGCATGACTACGAAACTGTGTAGAGGAGCTGTAGCGTGTGTGTGGTACTGGTGAGGTATAGGCAGGTGTTATCTTTCGTTATGTTTATATCTCTGACGGTGATAAATGGCTGAACATAGTGAGGACTGAGGCTATGGTCTGTGTTTATGTGGGTTGGCTAAACAGGAGTCTGTCTTGAAGTTGTCTGTGAGCTCGGCTGAATATGGGCGTGTCTGTGGGTGTCTGAGGGCGCTGGAAGCAGTATGCAAACGTGGGTGATCATGTGTTTGTGGGTGCCTGGAGAGCCTGAGCACTAGTGACGAGGGAGCCACGCGCGGCCCACGTCGACTTCTTATTGCAAAATCAGCTGTTGTGTGTGGCTGGTGTTCCCATCAGGGCTGTGAGGTGCCCCACTCAGGCCTCTCCCTCACTCTCTCCCTTCTCCCTCACTCCTCGCTCTCCCTTCTCCCCCATTCCTTGTTTTCGTCCTCACTTTTCATTCTCTCCCTTCTCTCTCATGCCTCGCTCTCCTCCCTCATTCCCCTCTCTCATTTCTCTCTAACTCACTATTTCGCTCTCTTCTTCTCTCCCTCTCTAAACTTTCTCCCTATCTCTCTCTTTCTCTCCCTCCTTCACTCCTTATCCCCCTCTCTCGTTAGCTCATCCTGCTTCCCAACGCCTCTCTGTGTGAGTGAGAGGCGAGACGCAAGCCAAAAAGAGAATGCTATGTGAGAAATGAGGCTGAGAGAGAGAAGAGAGGGCAGTCGTGAGGATTGGGGTATGCGAGAGGGCTGTATGAGAGGTGAGACAACAAATAAGGGAGCAATACTCACCTGGCGTTGATGGTGGAAGTGGCCGGGGAAGAGCTTCTCGTCTCGGTCCTCTCTACCCTGGTCTGCTCGGGAGACGAAGACGATGAGGACGATGACTTGCCCTTGAAGAGAGGCGACTGCTGTAGAATCTGGGAGGCGTCCATCTCGGTGCTGCTGATGTAGGAGGACCTCTGGTGGGCGGTCCGGGAAGTCCTTAGGAGTCCTTCGGCGGAGTCAGAAGAGGAGGAGGAAGAGGACTCGCTGGTGTCATGGTGGAAGACGGAGACGTCGACGGCCCCATCACCAACCTGTTGCTCCAGGCTGCGCAACTCCACCATACTCCGCCTGCAGGAGAGAAAAACTCAATATTTTACAACCCACGGCACACACACACACACACACACACACACACACACACACACACACACACACACACACACACACACACACACACACACACACACACACACACACACACACACACACCTATATCGACGCTGAGAATATATAACTTCAAATCATTATCAAGAAAAATAGGGTTTGGATCCTTTAAAATTTCCACAGTACAACATAACAAGGCATTTGATTCTCTTTGGCAGGAGGTTCAACACGTTTCCAAAGTCTTGGGTATCATCAGTCACTTATTAATCCTTTTGTAAACTTTGTGTAAATATAAAGTACTCCCGTCCTCACATTCGTTGTAAGGTGTAAAAAAAAATACAAAATCCTTGATCATTATTTTTCAGAGACATCGGTATTACTTAACTCACTATTATGATTAACAGCAGTGAATAATAGAGTAAGTTTATACATTATACAATACCTATTCAATATTACGGAGAGTAAGTCATTTATAGGTGCAGCACATGTTCTTAATTATCCACCCCACCCACCCCCCCCCATCACCAGGTAAACAGAATAGGCTGAAAAAGGTCACCTGGGTGCAGAGGTTGACACACAGGGTAGCACGGTAATACAAATTAACACTCGGTAGCACTCAGTAACACACGGTAACACTCGGTAGCACTCAGTAACACAAGGTAACACTCGGTAGCACTCAGTAACACAAGGTAACACTCGGTAGCACTCAGTAACACAAGGTAACACTCGGTAGCACTCAGTAACACAAGGTAACACTCGGTAGCACTCAGTAACACAAGGTAACACTCGGTAGCACTCAGTAACACACGGTAACACACCCCAGCTACCAGTGACCGTGTGTGTGAAATGATGTAAAAGACCTAAGCTGGAGACGAGACGATTTCCTTAGATGTTCAGTTAGGTGTAAAGAAGTGAGTTAGAGTCAGTGGAGGGTTGGTTGGTGATCCACACACACCTCCACCCTTATCCACACGTCTCCATCCTCACCCACACGCCTCCACCACAGCTCCATCCTCCACCACAAGCCTCCACCCTCCACCACACACCTTCATCCTCCCACCACAAGATGCCACCACCGAAAATGTAAAGAAACGCGGGTTGACTGACTGACAGACACACACAAATATAAATAAAATAAATAAAATATAAATAAATAAAAAATCCGAGAAATCAGATTATGGTGTTAATATCGGTTAAATTCACCAGATTTGCTGTGATCATAACCTGACACCTGCGAAAAACAAACCTAACCTAACCCGTATTGAGTATTATTACCTTCATGCGACTCAAGGCTTCAACATTCTCGCAACACAACGGATGAGTCGACCGAGTTCTGTAACAAGCTAGTAGTCTGTAACAAGTTAGTGGTCTGTAACAAGTTAGTGGTCTGTAACAAGTTCATGGTCTGTAACAAGTTAGTGGTCTGTAACAAGTTCATGGTCTGTAACAAGTTCATGGTCTGTAACAAGTTCGTGGTCTGTAACAAGTTCATGGTCTGTAACAAGTTCGTGGTCTGTAACAAGTTCATGGTCTGTAACAAGTTCATGGTCTGTAACAAGTTCGTGGTCTGTAACAAGTTAGTGGGCTGTAACAAGTTAGTGGGCTGTAACAAGTTAGTGGGCTGTAACAAGTTAGTGGGCTGTAACAAGTTAGTGGGCTGTAACAAGTTAGTGGTCTGTAACAAGTTAGTGGGCTGTAACAAGTTAGTAGTCTGCTTAACAAGTTAGTGGTCTGTAACAGAAATAAAGCCAACAAGTTGGTGGGCTGTAACAAGTTGTGGTCTGCAACAGTTAATGGGCTTATTGAGTGGGCTGTAACAAGTTAGTGGGCTGTAACAAGTTAGTGGAGCTGCTAACACAGTTAGTGGCTGCTTAACAAGTTAGTGGGCTGTAACAAGTTAGTGGGCTGTAACAAGTTAGTTAACAAGTTAGTGGGCTGTAACAAGTTTGTGGTCTGTAACAAGTTAATGGGCTGTAACAGAGTTAGTGGGCTGTAACAAGTTAGTGGGCTGTAACAAGTTAGTGGGCTGTAACAAGTTGGTGTTCTGTAACAAGTTAGTGGGCTGTAACAAGTTAGTGGTCTGTAACAAGTTAGTGGTCCGTAACAAGTTAGTGGTCTGTAACAAGTTAGTGGTCCGTAACAAGTTAGTGGTCTGTAACAAGTTAGTGGTCTGTAACAGCCTTCCATATGTACCTACAAGACCCACGACCTGTGCCAAGCCTTTAAACTACAACAGGTTGGCAGCCTGCACGAGGTGGGGGGGAGGGCGAGAGAGTACCTCGGGTGAGAGGGAGGGGGGCGAGGAGGGCTATCTAGGGTGAGGGGGCAGGAGGGAGTACCTCGGGTGAGGGAGGAGTATGTTAGGGTGAGGGAGGGAGGGGCGAGGAGGGAGTAGCTGGAATGAGGGGAGAAGGTGAGAGTATCTTAGGGGAGGGAAGAAGGGAGTGACCTGAGGGAAATAGGGGAGAGGGGAGGATGTTGGAGTGAGGGAGAAAGGATGGGGTGAGGGGGAGATGGGGGAGAGACAACATTCAGGCGACCTGATCACGCTGGCGGTTACGACCTGATTCTCCTCCACAAAAATTGATTACCTGTCCGCTACCTCACGTGGACGACAGGTGGGAGGGAGGGAAAAGAGGAGAGAGAAGAGAGAAGTGATAAGGAGTGGGAAAAGGGAGGGAAGAGGGGAATGAGAGGGAGAAAGACAAAGAAGGTAAGAAAGGAACGGGAGAAATAGAGGAGAGAAAGGAAAGAGGAAGAGAAGGAGTGAGGGGGAGGGAAAGAACGGTGGTGAGGGATGAAGAGAGAGGAAATGAAGGGAGAGAAAATGGAGGGAATAATGAATGAAGATGAGAGAATGAGGGAGAGAGAAAGAGGTGGAAGTGGAAGAGAAGAGAGATGGAGGGAGAAAACTCAAGAGGGAGGATAAAAGAGAGGAGTCAAGATGGAGGAGGCTGAGTGAGGGAAGGAAGGTTTAAGAGGGGGGAGGAGAGGAGAGGTGATGGAAAGGGTGAAGGAAGGACGGAAGGAAGGAAGGAAGGAGAACCAGAAGAAGTGGAGAAAAATAACATGATAAAAGTTGGGATTTGTTTGTATATAGCTCAGCCACTGGGTGTGTGTGTGTGTGTGTGTGTGTGTGTGTGTGTGTGTGTGTGTGTACGCGAGGATGTAAATATGGGCTATATATCCCGAGGTAATATTTACACTGGCAGTCGACTGTGTATGGCGGCCAGTCACTAAAACAACCTCCCATATTGGTGTGAGGTGGGGGGAGGGGGCAGGTAGAGAGGCGTGCATGTAAACAATCAAATAGACACGTAAACTAAGACACACACACACACACACAGGTAAGGAGGTAGACATAAACAAACAAGAAGGCAGACAATGACAGAAACTGACAGCTGAAAGACAGATACGTAGAGAGGACTGACGGTCGTTAAGTGAGGGCCTGGCTGGACCCCCAGACCCTCGGGGATGTCGGCAGAGCTAGACACCAGCATCAATATCACCGCCGGTAGTAGCATCCGTCCCTCGCCTCCGTCCCTCCGTCCGTCCGTCCGTTCGCCTGCCCGGTAACCCCAGTTATCTCTCAATTGGCGAACTTCCTGCCTGCCCCTTGCTCGCGCCCGCTCCCTTCCCCCGGCCTCCCCCACGCCCACACACACCTATGCCTCCGCCCATACACGCCCACCTTTCCCCACCCTCGATTTCAGGACAGAGAGAGATAGCGAGAGAGAAAGAGGTGATAAGATGTCCGCCGGAGGATGATAACCCTAACCCCCTCCCTCCATTGCCATCCCCCGGCGGTGCATCCTCATCCACTACACTCCCCTCCTTCCCTCTCTCTCTCTTCCCATCACTTCTCCCATCCCCCTTCTCTCCCTCTTTATACCCCCCTCCCTCTCTCTCTCACACATCCATCATCATAACACTCAAAATAACTTTGTATGTTGACTAATACAGCCACTCTACTCTCACTCTATCCTCACAAGGCTCTCCTCTCTCACCGCTCCCTCGCATATCATCAGCTTCTCAACTGACGTAAAAGTGTGCGTGGGTCCCATAGGCGTCCAGGCACCGTGTGAGGAGGTACAGTACGCTGGAAGCCTCTGGTACACAAGGAAGACCATTATGTTCGGCACTGCACTCACAAGCCTTCATTCCTCCAACTGAACTGTGAAGTACTGGTAAATTAGGTGTACCCAATCACAGCTAAAACGACTTAGGATGCATCGGGCGAGAACCAACGACCTTTAGGAACTGAGGCGAGAGGTGTATCAACTGAGCCACTACAAACTATCACTTACGGATATTACTAAAATAGCTCAGGACTGATTGATGTACTGGCTGGTGTAAGTGGGGGTGGTAATGGTGAAAGTAGTAGTGGAGGTAAGTGAGGTGGTGGTAGAGATAGTAGTGGAGGTGGTAGAGATAGTGGTGGAGGTGGTAGAGATAGTGGTGGAGGTGGTAGAGATAGTGGTGGAGGTGGTAGAGATAGTGGTTGTGGTGGAGTGGTCGTATATACAGGGAGGGTCAGACAGCAAACTACCCTACATGGTGTACTTCGCTCCCAGCCACGACGGTTACCTAAAACTGATTTATCAATTCCACAAATCACATTTCCTTGTCAGGGGGATGGTGGCAGTGAGGTGACGAGGGTAAGGGAAGGGGGTAGACGGTGAGGGAGGGGTGGGCAGGGGAGGTAGGGGTAAGGAGGGGTAGGGGGTGGGGAGGAGGAGATAGAAGGTAAGGGGGGTAGAGGTAGGGGTGAGGGAAGAGAGGGGGTGAAGGAGGTGGGGAAAGAGGGGGTAGAGAGGGTAAGGGGAGGTGGGGTAAGGGGGAGGTAGGGGGCAAGGGGAGGAGGGTAGGGGTAGGGGAGTAGAGGGTAGGGGAGGGGTGGGGAGGGTAAGGGGGGTAGAGGGGCAAGGGGAGGGTAGGGGCAAGGGGAGGGTGGGGTGGTCAGG